GACTATCTCATCCCCGCCTTGCCCCCCTCTCCGTCTCCGGAAGAATGGGACGCACGTTAACATGCCCTTGCATTGTGCATAAAAAAAATCTCCAACCGGGAAAGATGTCGTGTACACAAAATTCTTGAGCTCCTTCACCACCTCATTATCCAACTCCAACTACAATATATCGCCATGCCTTTAGACGCAGTGTCAGCCACTCGCCCGTGCAAGGCCCAGCAACACCTCGCGAATTACTATGTTGCTAAAGCCGCCCAACTTGCTCCCAAAGCTAAGCTCAAGATCCAAGGTCACCGCGATATGGGGATTTCCTCTCTCCTCGCAAGAACTAATGTGAAGAAACTACGAGAAATGAATTGACTAGGAATGAGAAAGGTACAAGTATGAAACCCTAGGAAAGCTGTACCCCATATTGTCTACCCCACTACAGCCTACACAGGCTATATCATATATGTCTGACACACCCCCATAGGCAAAGTGGGGGAGAACAAGGGGTCACAAGACCAGTCAAGCAAAGCGAAGCAAGCTCAGGGTGGATCACAACGTCACCACACATTCCGAGCACAAGTTCAAAGGCCACAAGGCCAGTTCACATGCAGGATTATAAATCAAGGTGAACAAGCAAGACAGTGATCCCAACCTAGCAAGGGTAAACATGCAGGTGCCAGTATCTATAGATCACAGTACAAGCAAAGCAAGGAGGTAAGCAAGTGAGGCCAGGTAGGCACAAGACCTAACATAGTACGGAACCGCTGATGATCACAAGGCTGAAGTGCCTTGGTAAAGATATCAGCAGTGTTGGCCTCAGAGGCCATGTAAGCAAGGCGCAGCTGACCACGCTACTATAGCTCATGTGCAAGAAAGTAATGAAGAGCAATGTGCTTCGTTCTGTGCTCCAGTCTGTGCTCCTGACACAAGGCCAGCATGGCCTTGTTGTCTACGTACAGAAGTGGAGGAGAACAAGGCAGCTCTCCCAGGTCGGTCAAAAGGTAGGTGAGCCAGTGTAACTCCTGTGCAGCCATGGCCCCTACGTAGATCTCAGCCTCATAACTGGAGCTGAGAACAGAAGACAAGCGGCGTGACCGCCAAGAAACAGAGCCGCAGCCAAGGCTGAAGGTGTAACCCTCTGACGACCACTGCGTAGCCAAGTCGTCAGCCCAAGAAGCGTCTGCGTGACCAGTGAGGACAACTCGAGCGCGTCCTCCAAGCACAAGCCCCATGCCCGACGTACTGCACAAGTAGCGCAACACCCTCTTAGCAGCATCCATGTGCTCCTTCCTGTATCGGTCAGGAGCGACAAAGCGTGCTAGAATGCTAAGAGGGTAGGCTAGGTCAGGTCGAGTGCAGGTCATCAGGTACATGAGGCAGCCCACAAGCTCTAGATACGAGCCACTCGGCTCTACGGACTCGTCCGAAGGTGGAGCTGAGAGCGAGTGACCGGTAGGCAGAGGAGTGGACTATGGCGAGGAGTACGTGAAGCGAAAGCGCTAAAGGACCTGCTGCACCATGTGTGACTGAGTCAGGGTAATGGTGCGCCGTGCTCTGTCCCGGGTGATTTGCAAGCCAAGATAGCTGCGCAGCTCACCCAGGTTTGCGCTCGTGTGTCGTTTCTACAGCTCCGACTTCACGAGGGCCAGTCCAGCAGTGTCACCAGTAGCAAAGACCAAGTCGTTGACGTACACGAGGACGTAGAACGGCGACAGAGTAGTATCGGTGCGGAGAAACAGCGATGGGTCAGCAGTGCAAGGAGCAAACCCAAGAGCCCCAAGCGTAGTCCTAACTGTGTTGTGCCACTCACGGGGCACCTGGCAGAGACCATAGACTAGCCGCCGGAGGCTCCATTGGGTACCAGGAGGAAACGACCCAGTGAAGCCAGGTTGGCGGCGTAGCCAGATCTCCTCGTGCAAGCTGCCCTGTAGGAAGGCTGTGCTTTAGTCAAGAGAGTGAAGCTCGTAGTCACGCTGAGCGGCTATGTGCAGCAGCACCCGAAGAGTGGTCATCTTCAGGGTAGGAGAAAAGGTCTGAAAGTAGTCAACTCCCTGCCGCTGACTGAAGCCTCGAGCCACGTAACGCGCCTTGAAGACAGGCGGAGAACCCGGCGGCCGCTTCCCCCTGAAAATCCACATGCCACTGACGATGTTCGCCCCAGGTGGGGGAACCTTGTTAATGTAGGTGCCTGTGGACTTCCAGGAAGCCATCTCTGCGTCCATGGCAGACTGCCACTGAGAGGAGTAGGGTTCCTCTGTCCCCTCTGCGTAAGAGCGCGGGGTCGGGATATCTGGTGCATCCGGGTCTCCCTCAGGGGCAAGCAGCATGGATACGAGATGAGGTAAAGCAGCAGCAAAACACTGGAACTCCTCCTGCCTGTCCTCAAGGACGTCCGTGCTAGGAGCACACTCACCCCCGACGGACGGAGGACAGACGGACTCAGACTCAGCAACAAGACTAGCGGCGTAGTCTAGAGGGCAGTGAGCAGCAAAGTCGACAAGCTCTGCAACAAGAGCCGACGCAGCAGTAGACTCAAAGGAAAGGGTCAGTGACAGTAGTAGCTTGAAGACGTGTGACAGTAGGACTGGCAGTGCGAGGAAGGTCAGACGGCCGGTCAGCAATGTCAAGAAGAGAGGACGCTGGAGGAGACAGCAGATGGACACGCTGTGGAGCAGTGGAAGGACGGAGTGCCATCTGGTGCGTGCTTGGGACAGCAAAAGGACGTTGACGCGGAACACGACGGCCAGTGCGAGCAGCACGAACAGGCGACGCAGGACGAGACTCAGGCTCACGACGCTCCGTAAGACCTACGGTCGGACCAGTGTAGGGAGAAGGACCAGGTAGTGGCGAGGCAGGCTGTAACTGTGACTACGACTGGACAGGTAGAGGACACTCTAAAGAGGGAGCAGGACCAGTAGCATGTGGGAGACCAAGAACCTGCTGAAGGAGCGGAACGAGGTATGGCCGCGGCCGTGTAGCGCCCCCAGAACCAGCAGAGGCAGCACTAGTACCCCCAGCGTCAGCTCCAACTCCTGCAGCACCACCAGCAGCTCCAGCAGCGCCAGCTCCAGCACCCGTAGGAGCACCAGCTCCAGGAGCATTGCCAGCGCTAGTATCTTCAGCAGCACCAGCTCCAGTAGGACCACCAGAAGCCCCAGCAGCTCCAGCTCCAGCACCTCCAGCAGCACCTCCCGCTCCAGCACCAGCTCCAACAGCACCACCACGCCGAGCAGCTCCTGTACCTCCAGTACGAGCACCTCTAGGACCAGCAACTCCAGAGCTCCCATCACCTCCAGCGACTGCAGCACCTCCAGCACCAGTAGCACCTCCAGCCCCAGCAGCACGGCTCCAGCGCCGAGCAAACCTCTCGCGCAGTTGCCGTGAAGAGAGTGGCTCACGCCTGGACGAGGCACCTGTAGGACTCCCAGACACAGCACCACCAGGCTCCACACGTGCAGGCTCAGCACCCTCAGGCTCCGCACCCCTTGACTCAGCAACCCCAGGCTCAGCACCCCCAGGCTCAGCACCCCCAGGCTCAGCACCCCCAGACTCAGCACCCGCAGGCTCAGCACCCCCAGGCTCACCACCCCCAGACCCGGCACCCGCAGGCTCAGCAATCCCAGGCTCAGCACCCCCAGGCTCAGCACCCCCAAACCCGGCACCCGCAGGCTCAGCACCCCTAGCAGCACCAGAGTCAACAACTACCTTGACAAGCTCGAGTGCGTCTACATGGGACACACCTGACGGGGCAGGACCCTGTGGGGGGAGGGGGTCTACCGGGGGGGGACCTGGCGCAAGGAAGAGCGGCGGCGGGGGAAGGGGGGCAGTGCGGTAGGGAAAGAGACAGTAGTAAGGAACTGACTCGTCAAACGTGATGTCCTGAGAGGACATAACATGGTGCGAGGCGGGGTGGTAAAACTGCCAACCAGGCGTTTCAAGGGGGAAGCCAAGGAAGACGCAGGGAACAGCACGGGAGGACAGCTTGTCCGCAGACAACTCGCGGACGAAGGCTCGAGATCCCCAGACACGGAACGGAGACGCATTGCCAACCTTCCCCGTCCACCGCAGAGTAGGGGTGGTCTCCGACATGGAGACCCGGGGCTGGAGGTTGATCTGATGCGCTGCGTACTGAACCGCGAACGTCCACAGAAAATGGGGAGCAGCCGCATGGATCATGGACGTACGAGCGACGTCCATGACCATGCCAATGCGGCGCTTAACAATCCCATTTTGCTGTGGAGAGGCCGGAAGCGTGAAGGTCTGGGGGATGCTCTCCGCCTGACTGAAGGCTCACAGAATGTCGGAGGAAAACTCTCCACCTCTGTCGGAGTGCAGACGCAGAACAGGAAAGTCCGAGTCGAAACTCTCTCTGAGCTGGAGACGAGCTGCGCGGATCTAGTCGATCAACACCTCAGTTACCTCACCCTTGCGGCGCAAGGGGAAGATCGTGTCACGATATATATAGTTCGGAAAGTACAAATATGCAAGACAGGCATGCAAAAGGTGCACCACCAACAAGAAGGAAACATAACTACACTAAAGCTAAAGCTACAGGCAGTTATGAACAAATATAAAATATATATCATAAGACACCCCCTTAACTGCCTGCAGCACACAGCTAGAGTGAGTCACACCCCCTTAAGTTGCTTGCGATAGGAGCTTGGAAAGCCACGGAGGGGTAGAAGAAGCAAAGGAAGCAACAACACGCATCAGCCATGAGAAATGCAACCACGGCAGGTGCAGGACCCGAAAGGTGGGCGTGAGAGCAAGCGCCATGGCCGCAACGAGCAGCAGGACAGCGCAGGTCAGCACCTCCCAGGCGTGCCTGCAACAGGCAGCAGTTGCAGTGATGGCAGATGGAGCTACAGTGACCTCAGCCACGGCAGATGCAGCAGCGACAGGTGCAGGACCTGGCAGGTGGGCGTGAGAGCAGGCGCCGTGGCTGCAACGAGCAGCTGGACAACGCAGCTTAGCACCTCCTGGAGCATGCCTGCTACATGCAACGGCTGCAGATGCCCGACTTGCCTCTGCCACCCCCTCAACCACTGTCCCCCCTACTTTGGAAGCTACGGAAGGAGGCGGGGCGGCGTACGGTGCTGCTGGCGGGGTCTCTACTGGCGGGGTCTTTGCTGGCGGTGTATCTGCTGGCGGGGACTCTGCTGGCGCTAACGCTGCTGGCGGGGTCTGGTGCTGGCGGCTGGCGCTGGTGCTGGGGTTGGCGCTGGTGCTGATGCCTGGTGCTGGCGAGACGGCCTGCTGGCGGGGGTCTCTGCTCGCGGGGGTCTCTGCTGGCGGGGGTCTCTGGTGGCGGGGGTCTCTGCTGGCAGGGGTCTCTGCCGGCGGGATCTCTGTTGGCGGGGGTCTCTGCTGGCGGGATCTCTGCTGGTGGGGGTCTCTGCTGGCGGGGATCTCTGCTGGCGGGGGTCTCTGCTGGCGCGGGTCTCTGTCGGCAGGGTTCTCTGCTGGCACGGTCTCTGCCGGCGGTGTAGCTGCAGGCGGGGTCTGGTGCTGGGGCTGGTGCTGGTGCCTGGTGCTGGGGCTGGCGTTGGTGTTGGTGCTGGTGCTGCTGCTTGGTGCCTGGTGCCTAGTGCTGGGGCTGGCGCTGGTGCTTGGTGCCTGATGCTGGGGCTGGCGCTGGTGCCTAGTGCTGGGGCTGGCGCTGGTGCTGGTGCCTGGTGCTGGCGTGACGGGGCTGGTGCGGGTGTTGGCGCTATTGCTGGTGCTGGTGCCTGGTGCAGGCGGCTGGCGCTGGTGCTGGTGTTCCGCCGCCACTCCCTTCCCCCTTTCCCACTCTCCCCCACAGCATTCCGCCGCCACTCCCTTCCCCTCCTCCCTCTCCCACCCACAGCGACCGCCTCTGCACACGCGAACAGTCGCGACGGGGGGGGGGGGGGGGTAAACGGGCAAGGGGCCGGGGAAATGCGACGGGCGGCGCGAGGCGACGGGAGGGAAGAAAACGGGACAGGGGGGGAAGGGCCGCGACGACCGCCATGGACGCCGTCCCCTTCATTCCTGATGCTGCGTCCCCCCCCCCCCCCCCCCCCCCCTTGCGCAAACTCGGCAGCAGGCGTAGGCGCGGGCAGAGGTGGTGATGGGGGGGAAACGCGACAGGCTGGCGACCGGGATGAAACGTTGACAGCGCGCGTAGGTGCTGGCGCGTTGGCGGGCTGGTGACGGAATCGCTGGCGTGCTGGCGTGTCCGCTGGCGGGCTCGTCGGCGGGCTCGTCGGCGGACTTGTCGATTCGCTTCCACCCCCCCCCCCCCCCCCCCCCCCCCCCCCCGTCGTTGGTGTGCTCGCTGGCGGTTCTGTCAGCGGATTCACTGGCGGGCTCGCTAGCGCGTTCGCTATGGGCTGTGGATGCCATGGGCAGAACACGACGATCTTGGGCGGACTGAACGGGAAACGCGCTACGAACTGGGGACGCGAGGATTACGGGTTGGTGGGCCCATAAAATCGCAGGTCCTAGAAGGAACTACGCTCTGTTACCATCTTACGACACGATCTGAGCTGGTAACCGGGTTTAACTAAGGGGCCTAGGCTTAGTAGCCTAGGCCAAGCGGGTGACGAGGGTCAAGGCCAAGGACGATCGAGAATATTGACCAAACAAGTTGGTTTCACTATAGTTCGGCAAGTACAAATATGCAAGACAGGCATGCAAAAGGTGCACCACCAACAACAAGAAAACATAACTACACTAAAGCTAAAGCTACAGGCAAATATAAACATATATAAAATATATATCACGACAGGCCGTGGTGTGACGCGAGTAGTCGTCAACAACCATCAGGAAGTAACGCTCGTGACCCTGTCCACGGACGCGGGCTGGGCCCCACACCTCCATGTGGAGAGTCTGCAGCGGAGCCTTTGTCGGAGGAAACTCGGAGGAGTGAGGAGCGGCGCGCTGCCGGCCCTCGACGCAGGAAACGCAGGTAGGGGCAGGCCCCGGAGGAAGGGGAGGGAGGGATCGGGGGAGACCAGAGACAAGGATACGGGAGGCCATGCCTCGGAGACGAGGCAAGGAGGGGTGACCAAGGCGGTGGTGCCAGAGGAGAGTCCGGTGAGACAGGAGGCGACACGAGCAGGGGGCAGACTCAGGACCAGACCGGGACGCTGCAGCAAACACCTGACCGGACGCGGCTACCTGACCAGACTCAACAACCAGAGGAGACACGGTAGTCAGGGTGTACACGCTCGACCCAGGCTGATGGGCGAACGTGGCCAGGTGCCGGCCCGTCCAAGTACACGAACAGTGAGTCACCCTCTGACTGCCTAGAGTGAACTGGTCAACCCACGCGTCCAGAAGGTCAGCTCCACTCACCAAATTCGTGGAGAACGAGGGGAGGCGAAGGCCCGATAGGGAGCCAGACGGGACCGCCGGACACGGCAGGACTGTGGAGGAGTGTGCAAGGACTGGACCCCCAGAGGGGTCAGCCAGGGAGACTGCCACTGGCCGACTGAGCGGCGCGAGAGTGGTGGAGTCGCAAAAGAAGGAGCGGAAAGCACCCGAGTCAAGAGTGAAGCTGTGCAAGACCTGAGCCGATGCGGTACCTGAGAGAGCAGACTCACCAGCACCTAGGGCAGCAGACGCACTAGCACCTGGAGTAGCAGACACACTAGCGCCTAGAGCAGCAGCCCCAATGCCCGGGTCGGGCGGAACACACAGGTAACAGTTACCCTCAGCACTAATAGTCACAACATACATAGCAGCAAGAATAGCATCATAATAAAGATCAAAGATAGCAACACCTGACTTGAGGAGATCACTCCAACGAGGGATCTCAATGGCGTGAGGGAACTGCGTACGCAAGGCGTCAGTTAGGCGGCCGAAGCAGCGCTGCGTTGTGTGCGGGCCGCCGCACGTCTCCCCAATGCCGCTACCTCCGCCGCCTCCACCTCCACCGCCGCCACCGAAGCCCCCACTCTCGCCACCACTCCCACCACCACCCCCACCCCCTCCGCCGCCTCCACTGCCACCACCGCCGCCCCCACCATCCCCTCCACCACCCTTGCCCCCCTTGCCCTTGCCGTAGCGGCACCTCCCACTAGGAGCAGACGCAGCGCCGACCGAGTCGGTGCCAACGAGGTTGACAGCAGCAGCAGAGGCAACAGAGGGCAAAAGAGGGACGGGGGAGCACCCCTCAAAGAAAGGGGCACGGGGGTCCCTACGAGAGGCTCCTACAGAGACTATACTCTTCTCAGCTGCAAGGAGGCGCTCCTCGAGGAGGTCAACGGTGAACGTGGTGGGGCAAAGAGAGAGGAAGTGGTCCCTGACCGAGCGAAGGGAGTCAGGGAGACGGGTGACGAGGTAGTAGAGAGTGATGTACATAGGGGGGGGGGGGGTTCTTGGCGGAGAACTCGGTAGGAAGCGCAGCGCGGTAGCAGGTGTCACTAGTGCGGAGGTGCGTAATGAGGTCAGCAACAGTGGTAAAAGCGGCTAGGTCAGGGAACAGGTACGGTAGCATGAGGCAGCTAAGGGCAGCAGTGGCAGGGGAGGAGTAGCGCACAACAACAGCCTCATACAGAGTCCTAGCGGTCTTGTACTAGCTAAAGTGCGCGCGCTCAGCAGACGGCAGGTGACTACGAATAGCAAGACGGGCAGCAGCATCGCGCGTAGTCCACTGTGAGCGAACAGCACTGTAAGCATCAGTAGTAGGTGCAGCAGAGGCGCGAGACGTGAGATCGAACAAAGAGACTCCGCCCCTAGAGTCGCACTGCAGAAAAAGCTGCAGATCATCAACCCAAACCTTGAAATTGATTGCTCGACCCTCAGCATCAAAGGTGAGCACATTAGGGTTAGCTATGGTGGCAGTAGCAGTAGTAGTAGCAGCAGCAGTAGCAGTAGCAGTAGCAGGAGCAGCAGCAGTACTAGCGCGACTTGGCAGAGCGGCGCGGCTCGGCAGGGCGGCACGGCTCGGCTGGGCGGCGCAGGTGCGGCGGTGCGCTTACCAGAGTGGGGTAGGGCCGCGACCAGTAGGGCAGGGCCGTGGCGTGCCGGCAGGGCAGGGGCCGCGACAGGCGGGGCCGCAACGAGGCGGCAGGGCAGGGCCGCTTCAACCAGGGCCGCGAGAAGGCGGCAGTGGAGGGGCCGCGACAAGACGGCGGGGCCAGGCCGCGACTGGGCGACTGCAGGGCGGGGCCGCGTCACAGCTGCTGCAGGGTAGGGCGGCACCGAGGCTGCGGTAAGGCAAAGCCGCGGCAGGGTAAGGTCGTGCGGGCGGCGAAAGCGAGTTGCAGTAGGCGGGTGGGGCATGGTCGCGACGACAGCGCGGGCGGGCTGCTAGGGGTTGGCAACAACGAGGGTGGGCCGCGAAGGGCAGGGCCACTAAGGGCGGGCCGCTAAGAGCAGCGCGCGCGACGGCAGGGCAGGCGCACGGGGCGCAAATAAGGCAAGCTCGAGGCGCGCGACAGGGGCAGAGGCGCGCTTCGGGCAGAAGAAAAAAAGTCTCAATGGTGGGCCCTTAAAAAAAAAACGGTCCCACTGGGGAACCCGCTCTATACCATGTGAAGAAACTACGAGGAATGAATTGACTAGGAATGAGAAAGGTACAAGTATGAAACTGTAGGAAAGTTGTACCCCATATTGTCTACCCCACTACAGCCTACACAAGCTATATCATATATGTTTGACAATTAACACCCGCATTAAATCATCTTTCATCTCCTCCATCACCCTTCCCAATAGGCAAAACATTAGCGATTTTCCAATCCCTTGACAGCGGCATCCCGTCCGCCTCCCCAAATCCAGACTTCTAGCGACACATCCCTCGCTCCTCTCCCTCCCCCGTGCTCTCACTTCCGCTCCCGCAACCCCATTTTCCCTGCTTGAAATTGGCAAAGCCCTGAGTCAGGTCTCGCACGGGAAGACCCCAAGTCCGGGTGGAATCCTTGTAGAATGTTAAGAAAGGAGCTTAGGCTAAGAAGCCATAGCTAGGTTTTAGGGTATATGAAAGAGAAATAGGAGAAGGAGTTGAACTAGAAAGGAGGGGGATACAAGTAGCAAGCCCAAAAGGTTTATACTCACTTTTGAGTACCCCACTACAGACTAGACAAGCATTATAATCTGACACACCCCCATAGTCAAAGTGGGGTATAATCAGTACAGCATGCAGGCATAGAGCAAGAGTTCACAATGATAAGCAAAGCTAGAAGCTATCACAGAGGGCAAGTGAGGAGGAGGAGAGACTGTGTAGGGAGAGAAGATGCGAGGCAACGACTGAAGCTGCAGAGGCACGGGCACAGGAGCGGCTGCCTCAGTGGCTACCGAAGCAAGGGCGACGGACTACTAGAGTGACTGTCCCCGCGGCTATAGACGAGCGGCAGGAGCAACGGACCCACTGGCGACTGGTGCAACAGGCTCACTGGCTACCGAAGCAAGGGCGACGGACTACAGGCGCTGCACGCGACACGACTACTACCTTCACACAACCTCCCCCAGCTGCCCCACTCCCCTCTCACACACCCCCTGTTCAAACCCTAGCTCCACTCCCACAGCACCCCCCTTAAACCCTAAACCCTAGGTTCCCACACACCCACCCCCCTCAGCGACAGCTGCAGTAGTGGGAGATGAGGGAGGAGGGGGAGGAGCAAGGGGAGGAACACATAACCACCACCCCCACACCCGCCGCCCCCATGCTCGGTACCCCACACCCCCAGCACCACGGAATGCACGGGGGGGGGGGGGGGGGGGGGAACGGGATGGGCTGCAGGTGCGGGCTGCTCTAGGGGCGGCCGCTGCAGGTGCGGGCTGCTCCAGGGGCGGCTGCTGCAGTTGCTGGCTGCTCCAGGGGCAGCTGTTGCAGGTGAGGGCAGCTCTAGGGGCGGCTGCTGCAGGTGCGGGCTGCTCCAGGGGCGGCTGCTGCAGTTGCGGGCTGCTCCAGGGGCGGCTGTTGAAGGTGAAAAGTAGGAGGGAGGGGAGGGGAAGGGCGTGCCCCCCAGGGCGCCCTGACGGGCGACGAGCTAGGGAGCCGCGCGGGCCCCCGAGAGCGCCTCGACGGGCGACGGAAGGGGACCGCGCGCGGGCCCCCAAGGCGCCGTGACAAGGCGACGGTTGGGGCCGGTGCGCGGTGATGGAAAGCGCGTGAATCTGGAGAGCGTACAAGAGATTAAGTCCGCCGACTTCGACGGAACATTGCGTGCAGCTCACGTAACCTTAAACTATGAGCAGGTACGCGT